GCTCCGACCCCGGTTCCTGGCCCGCGGCGTCGCCGAGCACAGTGCCCGAAACTTCTCCGCCCTCCGTCGGTGCTCGGAGACCAGAGGCCAGGTCCGTGGTGATGGTCAGGCAGGCGGACATTTAAGGCTAAACAAAAAGAAGCGCGCACAGAAGGAGAACTTGGACTGTGTGCGATTTCATTGTCACTTGCAGAGAGACTTCCCAACGTGTACTCCTGGTGTTAGTACTTGATTTGACCATATCAGAATCTGTGTCCAAAAGGTGGCACGTTTTATGAAAGTAAAGCTAATCCAGAGACGTGTTTCTGTGTGGAGAATATGTACCCGCTTGGCAATTTAATTGGTGAGACAAGTGTTTTTATGTTAATAAAAGGAACGTTTGACATATGGCAAGAAAGATTAGTTACCAGGGCAGCCTGCTGTTAGAGTAATAGGCACTTGCCTCTGCAAATGAGTTACAGAATGGCCTTTTTCATTTATTACCTTATTGTGCCCACTGTTCATATTGAGGTAAATGATTCTGTTTTCCACATTCTGATGTTTCTGAGATTTCTGTTTAACATTTTGCTTTGCCTTTCTCCTAAACCTACCAATTGGAAGCTTTCCTGATAAATGGCTGAGAGCCAAGCAGTTTATATAACCCAAAGATGATTGAATTTCAGCTTTGTGAGAATGAGGAAACATGCATATGTTATTGGCCAGGGCTTTAAAGGATGCTTAATTATTTAGGAATAAGCCAAAATCATTCTATCTAGAAAAACCTGTATACGCTGGTGTTTTAAGTTCTTTTTATTTTTATTTACTTATTTTTTGGTACCATGGATTGAATTCAGGGGCGCTCGACCACTGAACCACATCCTAGCCTTTTTAAAAAAGGGTCTCACTGAGTTGCTCAGCACCTTGCTTTTGATGAGGCTGGCTTTGAACTCACTGTCCTCCTGCCTCAGCTTCCCAGGCTGGCTTTAAGTTCTTTCTATAATGATTTACTATGTGCAGGCTCATTTGGACACTTAACATAAAATTTAGGGAAGCTACGATTTAAAAAATAACTTGATTTGGGAATGTTGCTTCGAGGTAGATCATCTGCCTAGCATGTGAGAGGCCTTCAGTTCATTTCCTAGCACTGGAAAATAATAAAACTTTATGAGCATTTAATTGTTTTATTTGTTAAGATAGGCCTGTCTTCTTACAGTGAAGCTAGATAGCTTTTTGCAAATAGATAGATAGATAATCATTTTGCAAATGATTATAAGAGTATCCTCAGATTCTTAACTACTTCAATAGGTAATTTTGTAGTTGCTGGGTGTATTTTATTCAAAGCTTGTTTTAACATTTGTTCTTTCTCTTCACAGCAATTTTCCAGATTATTCAGAGTATCAGGATGGGCATGTGAAGTCACTCACCTTAAGATGTTTCCATTCTCCTGTGAATTTTAACTTGAACTCATTCCTGATGTTTGATACCCTGGTTAAAACCGATTCAGTAAAGCATCCTGCCTCAGAATGACTTTCATAGCATCCTTCATGTGTCATTCCAAGGTTTATCACGAGTCATTCCAGGTTTTCTAGTTCATACCACAGTGCCTTGCAAAAAGCACCACATGAATAAAGCAATAAAATTTGATTGTTAAACTACAGTAGTGGACCCTACTTAGTAAAGTGTAAGTTTTTTTTTTAATGTGGTTGTTAAAACAGTATGCAGTATGAATAATTAGATTAAATCTGTGTAGACTGAGTCTAGATTTTGTTAACTCTAACATGTAAAGTGTAGTTAGCTTAATTTAAAATTTGGAATCTTGAGGTTTTTATATAGCTAGGCACTTTATTACTCTTGAATCAAAAGCACACTCCATTATAGGGTCATGTAACTGTCCTGTAATAAGGTGCTTATAAATGGAACACAGCCTAGTTTTACCATAACAATTAGCATCCAAAATTTTTGAAAAGCTTCTGAATGCATAATATAAGCAGAGATGCTTATATATAAGCCACATGTATTTTCATGATATTGTTTCTGTTACACTACCTTGGATTTTGCATGAGTGAGCATAATGTAAGATCCCATTTTTAGGGGGAAAAAAAGTATTTTGTAACTTAATCAGTCACTGAGGTTTCACTAAAAATTACCATGATGGAGTGAAGTCAGGGAAGGTTTATGTCACATTGATTTCACCAGGATTATTTTAATATATCAAAGGAGTTTACTGTGTTAGACAAAATTTTAAGGAAAAATGCTACTAGAAATCTCTGTCATCAAGACCTACCATTGAGTCCAGTGTGCCATAAGACATCTTAGCATATCTATAGCACTTTTTAATACCAAAAAAGGCACATCAACTAATAAGTTCCACTTAAGGTTTGAAAGCATTTTTTCTAGGTTTATAATTAAAATGCCCTTAGGATGGGGACTAGATATATCAGTGTATAGTGGCATTTTAAATTAAATGGGTTTACTGATAGGTTCAGTCTTCCCTTATATGATTTTATATGTCATGATTGATCAGATTTTCTTATTAATAGTAAGGGTGAGGGTAATAAGGCAGATTTTGTGTTTTCTAGTACTGTTGAAAACTGCAAGTGTTGGCTCTACTTAGCCATAACTTGATGCAAAAAGCCTGAGCAGCGTGTGTGTACTAATGAATTGGTAGAAGGCTGCTTATGTTTGCTTTGTTAATCGCCTCAGGATATCTCTTTTAAAATAAGCTGTTTTAAGAGGAACAGAAGGGAAATCTGCTACCTAATATATACACAGTGCGAACCTCATAGGGGACTCCCGACATACCCTCATGGAAGGAGGAGAGTAAAGGGGAGGAGTGGTTAAGGGCATCTAGGAACTTAACTGCTCCCCTAGGAGAGGAATTGGCCAACTTTGGGCCAGCAGGTTTTTAGCTGAATTTTACCTGACTTTCTCACCCAGTAAATCAATCCCTGTACTTGTTTTCCTCTTTGAAACAAGTCTTGGGTTATCTAATTCTATTTTATTGTAACTTTAAAAATGAAAGTTATTGCTCTAAATTCATAGCAGGTGCCTTACTCTTTGCTTGAATCAAATCATTCCATATCAAACTTGCCCTTGGTTTACTATAGATAATTGGCTTTAAGGTGGTTTTTGTTTTGTTTTTTAATGTACAATATTTTTAATTTGTTAAGTTGCTATAGCTGGCAATCATTTCACATATGTAAAATTGCATTCCCTTTGTATTTCATGTGTAATTTGCCAATTGAGTACGTTTTATATTCAGGTTGGATTCTGCATGTTTGGGTAAATGAAAGCTGTGTCTATTTGATTTATCGTTTAAAAATAAAGTTCCCTGAATATTTGATGCTTTTCTTCTCAAAGAAAATGATTTTACAGAGTTCTTATCTGAGTGTATTATCTTACATTTAAGTTAAAAGAATAATACTGAGAGGCACAAATGTAAGATTTGTAAAAAGGGGCTAGCGGGCTGGGGTTTTGGCTCAGTGGTAAAGCATTTGCCTAGCATGTGTGAGGTACTGGGTTGAGTTCTCAGTACCAGATAAATTAATTAATTTGTTAATTAAAGTATTTTTAAAAAGTGACTAAAAAGAAAAATATATAAGAAGTAAAACGAACTATATAAAATATATAAGAATTAAGAACTTTTTCTACTTAGGGTATTTTCATTTTGTTACCCAAGTCTGATTCAAGGAAAAAGTACAATTCTTTGATCTCCTTTCTCAGTTCAGTTTTACAGATCATCTGATGTTGGGCACAACTTGAGAATAAGTGCTTACTTGGGGTTGTCCCCATCATCTATTTACTCTGATTTTTGCTCTAATATTTCATTGCTCTGTTATTTCATTGCATCTGTTGGGTTATATATAATGTTGCTCAAACTAAATGGGCTTCCAAAATAAGATTCTCATTGTAACGGTGCACATACTATACTTTAACATTAAAGATGTACATGTACATTCACCCGCAGAGCCATGAATTCTCACTGAGGTTACTTGGGTTCTGTTGGCCCAAAGGACTAGCAGGCACAGCTGTATTGTAGGGCTCAGTAGTGGATCCACTAACAAAATTCCCATGTGCTTTAGCATCTGAAAATTTAGAATATCATCAGATTCTCCATTTAGAAATTGTTCTTAGGTTTGATTTGACTTTACCTACTTTTTTA